GATATGTTTACAAATACACTTACATGATCGCGTCTTGAGAAGCTATATGTGCTGTCAGAAGGAAGCACAAATCCGTTGCCAAATACGTTTTTCGTAAGGTATACTGTTGGAAACAGCACCCATATTATGTGTGGTAAATTATGTAGTTGAAGCACAAATGGTCAAACCAAGCTCTACGTCCCACGGAAACGTCTCATCGAAGCAGCCAAAATTTTCACGTGCGCGCGAGAGCTCATTACATACTAAGCTTAATACATTCAATATTTTTAACATTAACCTTTCTTCTCTTGAATTTATTCAAGTGTTCAGGACAGTATTATACACAACACCAGGGTGTAACTTCCATTTGGCCTACCATAATAAGGATTGCCAAAACATTTACTGGATTACATCGAAAGAAGCCTGATGTATAGATAGAGCTGTTTCCTTATTCGATTACTTGATTACAAAACTATCTGAACAAAATGTTGGGCATTGTCTACATTTGTCCATTTTTATTTGCGCCTTAAAATGACCCATTTGTGGACAAAATGATAGTACGCAGCGAAAATGCTGAATGCTACTCTGTCCTATCTGTTTACAGACTATAATATATGTGAGCTTGATAAAATACTATGGCTGGTCATAAAATCAATTCTTATTTGCCTAGCTTGTTTGGCAATTCATCATCAAAGATTAAATAGTTTGAGCGGCCGAGCGACAGCGATTTGCAGCTGCAATATGTTGACTAGATCGTTTGTCACGAAATGAGATTCTCTTGTCGTTTTAGATTGCTTTAGAGCTTGTTCGTGAAGTAGTATCGCACCCAGAAGAACAGCTAAGCTGACCTGAGTTTAAGTATGAACAAAAATGCTGATGTAGTGAGTGCTTTTTTTAGATATTATCATTCGATTCCTAACCATTTGATGACATTTTTCACGATATTACGATGAAACACATCACTTTTATTTACATCAATGTTGCACCTTGTAGATCAAACCCCACTGGGGGTCTTTTTTCACAACAATGTTGTACAAAAATTCCATTTTAATCAGGCACCAATGCACCGGTTGCTCTCATATTGTCAATAATTGCGATCATCCCAACCAATGCATAACAAGACACACATTTGCTACGAGATTTGTCAGGAGAAATTGGCCGATGCAATGGTGTCGCAAAGGAAACAGAATTTTTCGTCCGAACTTTCAGTAAACATCAAAATGATGAGCGCCAAGCGCGGGCGGGGATGGACAAATATAGAAGTTGGACACTTGTGCTCGACATTGCTCCAGATGAGACGCCTTCCTTGAGAACGGCCAGTAATCCGATGTTTTCTGGCGCCGTATTGTTATACATTAGCTGCGTACTAGCAAGTTGATGGGCTGTCAGCACTGGATATGGAATGGATTCACGCGCAAGCGGATTGGGTCTGTATCGCGGGATCTGTTGCTGTTTGCTGCAAAGCATAAGCGAGTTGTGAATCCGAACACAAGCGGCAAGGCTGATGCTGATCGCTTACTCGACATCCAGCGTCTTTTTCACCATTGATCACACCCAATTCCAATCAGGCGGTCTAGATTTCGTTACGAAAATTGCTATACCGGTCTCAAAGACTCGCCTTAATGGATTATTGAGCACGGTCGCAGGAGAAGGCACCAAGAACGTTGACTCCTTCATCGCGTATCAATGAAAAACAGAGCATCCTGTCGCCCTTAGATGCCTCGTAAACACAGTTTTCTCGCCCTCTAGGCACAAGCGTACAAAGACAATATCGTTTTAGCTTGAAATCATGGAGCGTAGCATAAAGGTGGCTGAGGACATTGCCACGGTCAAGGGCAGGGCAGAGACTATACGACAGTACATTGAGCATCAGGTCATCGTCAAGCAGCAGATGTTAAAAGCGAAGAGAATGGCCAGTGAAAGAAGGCAAATGCTGGTGACAAACACGCGCTCAGGACGGTAACGTCATTGTTTCAAAGAAATTAAAGATGCTCGATAGAGACGAAGCTGCTTTATGAGCATGCGCAACCACTTTGCGCCATGTACTGAATGAAACAAGCAAGCTAAATCACGTGTGATCAAGATGGAACAATACAAGCAACTTGATGAGGAGTCAAAAGAACTGTATCCGTACCTTTGGCCTTTCATGAACAGATTTATCGTCTTGTAATCTCTTACTATACATGTGACTAGCTAAGTCCTGACGAAGATCATGAAAAAGGGTTTCACACTATTAGTGTCGAACGCGCCAAGAGGCTTTTCGATTGTGGTTGCCGACAAATACGTGTCGTTTGGTCGTATCACTTTTAAATCTGGGACTACACCGTTAATGTGGTCATCGTCTTCATATGGGTACTTAAAACTCTTCCCACAATTTTATTGCTGGTGCCTCTCATCTTTCACAAACATGTAGTGCAAGATTACACTAGCCTTCATGACAAGCATCATGGCTTTCTTGTAGCAAAATTGCATGGAACTTCGATAACGCATTAGCGATCCTTAAGTACGCCGAGTACCATTTCGATATTCGTCCGCTCGCCTCTTCTCAACTTCAATAAATTGCTCATTTTTCGATAAAGGAATTAAGATTTTTTTCACAAATACGGTAAGTTTGGGATATATACCATCTGCGAGGTAATGATTTTACGGTATGTATGCCCATTCACCACAAACTCCAAACTAGGGGCGTTGATATTGAACGAATTTGCGAACAAACGAAAATGTGTGGATGACGTTAATGTCTTTAAGCCAGCGGGGATGAGCCAAAGTTAGCATGCCATAACCGCAGGTCTCGGTCGAATATGGCCTCGAGAACCGCTGTCGGCTTTTTATCTTTCCCTGGGATTATCCAGCAAAGCCATTACAGCAGTAATTTTATTGCCACTACATGCGATCAATTGGCTTTAGTCTGCCAGGGAAGCTGAGTTCGCATGGCTTCAAAGGCAAACGCTTCAGGTCTCCCTCAATCTGATACAATACGCACTCATTGCTAATCACGTCAAAATTCTCATAAAAATATCCTGAGTCGCCTGTATAATGTTCGTTTCGCCCATCTCCACATTATCGTCGAGGCTATCAGCTGAACTTCCATATTTTAGTGTACTGAAAGCGGCTGTCACTCAAAGCAACGACAAGATTCCTAATTTTCCAGTTGCATCCAGCTGATGCTGTAACGAGGTTTTACATGGCGGTCATTGGACCGGTTATGTTGCGTGTCCACACCAATAAAGATCTGTGGATCTGAGTGGTACAGTTTTGTTACCACGTACTTACGGTAATACCACACCTTATCGGGTAGGGATAAGGGATAAGACTTCTGCCATAGGATTGCAATGGGCAAGTCAGTCAGCCAAGGTTTTAGGGTTTTATTACCGTAGTTAAAGAATAAATACAGTTCAGTTCCCCTTTTGAATCGTTAGACGCTGGTACCAGTCAAGGCGTAGTGTGTTGTTTAGAGTATTTGCTTTTTCAAGGCGTTTAACCTTGTTTAACTAGTAGTCTCTAGTTAGTGCATGATTCTTTCTGTGAATCTGAATCCCTTTGGAACCGGGATTGTTAATCTTGTACGCTTAAACGACTGTACGTCGTTGTTACTTTATTATAATTAAGAGACTCTTCGAGTCTAAGACTTCCTCTGTTAAGAGCGCTAATGAGCTCCGCTACAGATGCTGGAATTAAAAGTCATTCACTGTTATCGTATCATGCACATGTTGGAACAGGCTCTTTGGTACCTAGAATCGGCTACGAAAAGAATGATCATTGTACGTCGGCGATGCACCAAAGTGATGATTGTACAGTCGCTATTAACAACGATTCTAATTGCGATTGACATTTGGCACATGTCCTGGTGCGGATCCGCCAGAGTTCTGAAAGCTTTAACAATCCACTACTGCATTGTCATGATGTTTCGAGTTTCAACCACTACTAACAACCCACTGCTTTATCTTCATGATGCTATTAATGTTGAACGTCTATACTAGGTGCTCATCTTTATCATCATTGGCATCAATGATACGTTCGTCGAGGCTGTCATCACTAGAGGAGGAGCAGGACGACGAAGACGATTACGAACCATCTATTAGCGTAATTTTGGGGTACAATTTTTTAAATTTGCAAAGAGACATAAAAGGTAAGGGTGCATAAAAGCTGCAATGATTGTAATCGCCTAAATACGTTTTCTCACAAACTGTGAGAAAATGTTTATTCCGGAGGAGAAGCTCTTCGATAAAAACTGTTGATCAGATTGCCAGGCTGCTTTATAAATGGTTGAAACCTCTCGTTCGAGTGAAATTCAAAACCTTTTAACTTCACTGTGTTAAAAAGCTAAAACCTTTGAGTGTTTAGTATAAATATAAACTGTTTCTCATCAGTCATATATCGGAGTCTGCAAGGCACAAGCCAACCCTCACCATATCTCCCCATAGACTGACTGTCGCATCCATATTTATCCCTTTCCCACCACTACATAACTGGTCTCTATCTATCTGGTCGGCCACCACGCTCTTTACAGGGTACCGCTCAATGTCGAGCTTTTACACGAGTGAGATCCGTTGCAAGGGTGTGTAAAAAAAGTCCGTAGTGCGTTTTAATGGAGCTCCTCGTGGCGATTTGTAGTTGAATCTGTGGTCAGCTGTTGTTGATGTTGATGTGCGCAGGCGAAGGCAAATTGTGAAGTGAATATATTTATGGTCCTTAGTTCGCAAACTTGCTTCGCTACCTCTAAGCCACTCATTTCCTATACTTAGACAAACTATATCAGTCCCACTGATTTAGCTAGACCAATGAACACCCTTCGATCTTCTCAAGATCTTCTAGAAGGTTCACTGGTTTATCTAGACCAATCAACACCCTTCGATCTTCTCAAGATCTTCCAGAAGGTTTAAGAAGCTCTCCTTGTGACGTCACCCGATGACGTCATGCTGTGCTTCTTCTCAGCCAGTCCTTCTCGATTCTTCCAAACCTATCCATGAACATAAAAGCAGTAGACGGTGCTATGTTAACACTCCCACTCACCGCTATTGCTAAATGCCCTTGGGTCCAATGCAGCTTGCTTGTATCAAATAGTTCAGTCGCTTGGTCCCCAGAGCCTTCGTTAGCATGTCGGCCAATTGGTCCATGGTGGAGATGTACTTGACCACGATGATATCGTGGGCCACATTCTCCCGGATGAAGTGGTGACGAATGTCAACGTGCTTGGTTCTGGCATTGTAGCCGGCATTGCTGGCAAGCCCAATTGCTCCTTGATTGTCTTCCCAGACCCACGTTGCTCCCACTTGCTCGTGACCTAGATCCTTAAGCAGCGCACGAACCCATAACACTTCCTGTGTACACAGGCTTAAAGCCATGTACTCTGCCTCAGCAATGCTTAGAGCCACCGTGCGTTGATACTTGGACTTGTATATGGCTGGTGCGCCACCGATGATCACCATTATCCCTGACACGGAGCGTCGATCATCGATGTTGCTACCCCAGTCCGCGTCCGTATACGCTGTAGTTGTTACTTCGATAGCGCTGCCGTCGTAGATTATCCCGTAGTCTCTTGTCGTCTTGAGATACCGAAGAACACGAATGGCTGCCTTCCAATGTTGCTGACCTGGATTCTCCAAAAACCTTGATAACTGCGTGATGACATACATCACATCTGGGCGCGTACATGTCGTGATGTATAGCAAACATCCGATCAGCGACCTGTACGGCTTTGACTGCATTTCTGCTCTATCGACATCCGTCGTTGGGGATTGCTTCTTTGACAGCTTCAGGCCGGACTCGCATGGGTTGACCACTGTCTTTGCGTCCTCTTGATTAAAACGGCTGGCCACATCATCGATGTATCGAGTCTGTCGAATCATCAGCTTACTGCAGTTGTGGTCATGATCAATCTCCACGCCAAGAATAAATTTAGGTTTGCCTAGCTCCTTCATACGAAATGAGCTCTTGAGTGCTGTCTTGACCTCTTGAATCTCCCTGCTGGTCTTGGCGGCGATGATCATGTCGTCGACGTAGAGACAAACATAGACATAGTTGTCATCTTGATGCTTGACGTAGATACACTGATCTGCTCCGCTGCTACGAAATCCGATCTGTAAGAATACAGCATGGATTGTCCTGTTCCACGCACTTGCAGCCTGCTTGAGACCGTAGATTGCCTTGTCCAACTTGCACATCATCTTCTCCGCATTAGCTATGCCATTTAGCACTTCCATGTACACCTCTTCCTTGATATCACTGTTCAAGAACGCCGTGTCTACGTCCAGCTGCTCAGTGACGTATCCCTTTGTCACCACCACAGCTAGCACAACCCTGATCGAGTTCATGTTTGCCACGGGAGAGTACGTCTCGAAGAAGTCGACACCGAATTTCTGCTTGAACCCCTTTGCGACGAGTCGAGCTTTGTAGCGCACCACTTGTCCGTGTTCATTTCGCTTCTTAGCGAATATCCATCTGCACCGGATTGGTCAAATGTCTTGCCGTTTTGGTACCAGTGTCCAGGACCCGTTATCGGCGTGCGCCTTGAGCTCCGCTTGCATCGCTTGAATCCACTTGCTGTTGTCTTCGCCTTTTAACGCTTGGCTGTATGTTGATGGAGCGTCGTCCGCCTCGCCAACGCTTGCAGCATAGGCTAATACAGCCTCTGCAATGAGACCTTCGTCATCAATTCTTGCACGCTTTGGAGAAGGTGGTCCATCGCTACCTTCTGACGTGTCTTCACTGCTATTCCCATTCTCAAGCAGCAGCATTCTGTCTCGTGAGCGTCTTGTCCGATTTATCTCCGGCTGAAATACCAACCTGTCCTCCTGAAAAGCTTGTCTCGGAGCTTGATATCCCGTTATCTCATCGCCTCTTGGTTCTTGAGTTTCTGGATCGAGTACTTGAGGTATGATGATACCTGTTTCGAATGGAGCCGATTCTATCTCGTCCATCTCGACATCAGGAGCGCTTTCTTCGACATCTTCCATCGTCTCGTCTCCATCATACGGACGAACCACCGGAATCACTGCTTCATCAGTGTCACTAATATACTTGACGACTGGTACTTTATCTGGTACCACCGTGTCGTATATGCCTTCAACTTCCCGCTCGTCCAGCTTTACGGAGCGCGATATGACAACCTTCGACCTTTCCAGATTGAACACCCTGTATCCCTTGGTGTTCTCCGCATATCCGAGGAACATACACCGGTAACTCTTTGGTTCGAGCTTCGTCCTCTTGGCGTCGTCAATGTGAGCATACCCTTGCGATCCAAACACACGCAAATGCTCAATACTCGGCTTCATCTTGAAACCAACCTCGAACGGTGTTACGTCCGAATTTGCAGAGTTTGTGGATCTGTTGATCAAGTACACAGCCGTACTGACCGCCTCTGCCCACCACTGCATGTCGATACCCTTGTAGTACAGCATGCTCCTTGCCTTCTCCATGATAGTGCGATTCATGCGTTCCGCAACGCCGTTCTGTTGCGGACTATATGGTACTGTCCGCTGGTGCATGATACCATTACGGGCGCATATATGGGCAATCTTCTTGTTGACAAACTCCGTCCCGTTATCCGACCGTATACACTTCAAGTGCTTGCCCCATTGATTCTCATAGAAAGCCTTGAACTCGCTAAGCCTTGCGGCCACCTCGCTCTTGTGCTTCATGAAGTACGCTGCCACAAATCTTGAGTAGTCGTCTACGAATGTCAATACGAATCGTGCACCACCCTTTGAGACCGTCTTCATCGGTCCCATCACGTCCGTACTAGTTCCAACACACGTGACGTCCTTGTTAGCGATTGAGACGGGAATGTATCGATCGTCAGCTTGCCCTTCATGCATCCACTGCACAGCTTCTCGATGCCCTGCTTTACCGCCGGCATACCACTCGTAGCGCGCTGTGTCTTGTCCATACCAGATCTTCCGGGGTGTCCCAAGCGAGCGTGCCAAAGCTCCCACTCACTTTCAGCCCCTGCGTATTCTACAAGCCGGGCTTCTTTTTGTTCGCAATCCAGGAAGTACGCCTTGCCAATCTTCTTGCCGCTTGCAATCGCGCGCTTGGCACTCCAAATGATGCAGGACGAGTTTTGATACTCCACCCTCATGCCTCGTCCTGCCAGTTTGCCAACGGACAGCAATCGTTTGTCAAGTCCTGGTATGTGCATGACATCGACCATCATGATCCGTCGACCGTCTAGACCTTTCAGCTTGACTGTTCCCACTCCAGCTACCTGCAGCTTCTTGCCATCAGCGATAGAGACTTGTTGACCAGTCTTCAACTCCTTGTACTCAAATAGATCGCTCCGATGTGGTGTCATGTGCGACGTAGCCCCGCTGTCGATAAGCCATTCTTCGCATTGCAACTCACCAGCAGCAAACACAGCACCTTCTTCCTCGCCATTGCTACGCTTCAGGCAGTCCCGCTTATAGTGTCCGACTTGACCACACTTAAAGCACTTGCCTTTAATTCCGGTGTTGGTTTTCCGTAGATAGTTTCCCTTGCGGCCGTTACCTTGGCCTCCCTTGAAACGTCTACCGTTGCTGCTTACAGGAAACGCCTTCTCCGTAGTCTCCTTTCTCTGCAATCGTTCATGCTCCTTGAGCAGCTTTTCCTTGACCTCGATGAGCGTAATGTCCTTGGAATTCTCCACAATTGACGAGATGAGCTCATAGTCCGTCGGAAGACTACTAAGCAGCACCACTAGCTGCCGAGAGTCATCGACTGGCTCTCCAAGTGTCTGGAGGCCGACAACAAGCTCGTCAAAAGCATCCAAGTGCTTCGACATGGTCGAACCATTCTCCATCTTGAACTCATGCAGACGACGTGTCATCTCGACACGATTGTGGAGCGTGGTGCGGTTGTAGAAGTCCCGCAAGATGACCCACGCGTGCATAGCTGTCGTCGCCGATCGTATCTTGGTCTGGTGCTGTAGCTCTATGCCTTGAGCGATGATACCCAGTGCCTTAGCGTCGTTGAACAGCCAGGCATCCGTCATCTCTTCTTCTTTCTTGATGACTTGAACGTGCACCAGCAGCCCCTTGCGCGCCAACGTCATGCGCATGTTATACCGTAGTGGAAGTAGTTTCCACTACCCAGGAGGACTTCACACCGCTTGTTTGTCATGGTGGACGTGGTGGCTTGGCGGTTTGGAGCGCGTTGCGGCTGTTAACCTGTTGATGTTGATGTGCGCAGGCGAAGGCAAATTGTGAAGGGAATATATTTATGGTCCTTAGTTCCTAAACTTGCTTCGCTACCTCTAAGCCACTCATTTCCTATACTTAGACAAACTATATCAGTCCCACTGGTTTAGCTAGACCAATGAACACCCTTCGATCTTCTCAAGATCTTCTAGAAGGTTCACTGGTTTATCTAGACCAATCAACACCCTTCGATCTTCTCAAGATCTTCCAGAAGGTTTAAGAAGCTCTCCTTGTGACGTCACCCGATGACGTCATGCTGTGCTTCTTCTCAGCCAGTCCTTCTCGATTCTTCCAAACCTATCCATGAACATAAAAGCAGTAGACGGTGCTATGTTAACAGCTGTCCATGTCAACTGCAAGCAGCAGCAAATCACTCGTGTCTACGACGTGGCAGCCCCCCTCGTCCAATCTTGCAACCTCATTACCACTCGCTCATCAGTGTCCGCACCTTCGAACGCGACCTGGTAGAAATCAACTCGAGCGATGCGTCTCTTTGCCATCGAGATCGGGACTGCGCTCACCTTAGCATCCGTCAAGAGCGACTCCATAGCTGCCACCTTGACGACACCAGCAGCTCACCCCCGACCTCAACCCCTTTCGTCGGCCCATAACCGCGTCGATGTCGTCGTGCCCGAACGAAAGCTGCAAGAACCAGATGGGATGACTGTTTACGGTGCGATATCGTCTGAAGAATGGAATCGAAAGCGTGAAGCGATTGAGTCGTGGATAGCAAACCCCACAGAGACACTTCGGAATGCAGATATCATGAGAGAAGCAGCAGACGAGATTCTGCGGGACGAGGATGATGCCGTGACTGCTGTCGAGAAGCTGGGAAGCATGAGGGCGCAGAACAAGTTGTACGGGACTGCTACCAAAAACAACCCCGGTCTGCCGTCGGTGGAAGAATTGATTCAACGTTACGGCCGTGATGACGTCGTCAATGCTCTCGTGACTGCGAGGCAGTCTATCTTTAAGGAAGAAGAGACAATGGCAGAGATGTGGTGGGCACAGCTAGCCGGCGCGTGGAAGAGGGATGGCAAGCCTATTGCCGAGGTTGCTGAGATACTCAAGGTTGACCAAGATGAAAGTCTGACCCAAAAGCTGAAGATGCTGAAAGGCTACATCGGGCTCAGCACGACCGCTGTCCATGACACTCTCCTCGATACTATGACGACAAAATTGGGCGGGGAGGAGCAGCTTTTGACGTTTATAGGGCGGACCAAGATGAACGGCGATGCAGAGCGTGGAGCTCTGAAACTGGAGAAGCTGCAAATCGAGAAGTGGAAGGGTGAAGACAAGGATCCTGCCCAGGTGCTGAAGCTCATGCACATGGACAAAAGCATGGATGCTCTGATGAGCCCAATGCTGGACACGGTGATGCAGTACAGCGATGCATACAACACCAAGCATCCCGACAATAAATTCTCTGTGCTCACGCCGATCCGAGAATTTCTCGGAGATGAAGCTGTGGCGGATGGCCTTGTTGGTGCGAGACAAGATCGTCACAATGTTGAGGCGAGGGATATTGCCAAGAAGCTGCTGATAGAGCTATGGGAAGAGGGGTGGAAGGATGAAGGCAAGTCGGCTAAAGAGTTTATCGCGTTCTTGCGGCTTCGCGGTGCCCAGGGCACAAAACGTTCAGCCAGGATGGAACTTAAGGTACTGATCGACTACATACAGCTCTTCGACGACAAGACATTTCAGCCGGGTTTTGCCTCGTTGTTGAAGAGAATTGTCGGTGGAGACAAGGTGTTGGCAACCACGCTATTGAAGGCGATGGCTGAGAAGATACGCAACTCGGGTATTTACGATGCATACAAGCGACTACTCTACACGTGGCAAGATCGTCGATCACCGACGTTCATAAGCAAGCGGTTTTCGACAGTCACGAAAGCACTGTTTGGTCGCCTACGGTGGGGTGCCTTCCACCACTAAACGATTTTCCACGACAAGCACACCTAGACATTCTAAGGCTCCGTGACGGCTTGACAGGTGATTCTACGTCTGTTTTTGCTATGTATCTCACTTGAGCACTGCGTTCTGGACTTTAGTCCCCCATCGTGCGATGTCGTTGTATGTAATACATGTAGCCATGAGGCTTTTGTTTTTTTACGCCGCCCAGCCATACCCGGTGACCACTTCGTTCGTGCGCAACACCGTATCATGCGTACAGACTTGTGCGTATGACACTTTCGTTTGGTCAGAGCAGTTTATGCGTGAGCACATATCTGGCAGCTTTGACGTTAGTAGCAGCGTCAGTAGATCGAATACACGCTGATAGAGTGTTTGGAAGTGGCTAAAGCCTTTCGTCGAGTAGACTGTATAGTAACAACTATCTCGGCCATGTCGAATGCACTGTGGGACATTCAGCACTAGCAGCCCTGCCACGGGACCCGTGAACAACCTTCAACTGAAAGACTACCTCTGTCCAGGTTCTCTTCGAGTACAAAAGTGTATACAACCAGTCAATTTCGGTCATCATTTGCGGCCGCCTAGACCGATGGCAGATTAACGTACTGTGTATGCATTCAGTGGCAGACGATAGTCCGCTCCCTCTGACGTTACTAAGCGTCACGCCTTTTGGTTTGGATTGTAAGCTAAGACGAGTCTGAGCCACAGTGTAGCACTCACGTAGCTCAGTGGATTCACCCAGTTATCACTAGCACCGAGACTCACATCTATGTGCATCCAGACATGAGTTTTTATAGCTAGTCGGCAGTACAGCAGCCTTACGTACCTACCTCAATTTCGCTGTAGCTCAAGTGGACGTTCCAATGAAGATTCGTTTCGATCCATTTGGTACTGCATGCATCCACTTTGTTTCTCTTGCCAGCGCTGAAAACTTGAGCGCATAGTCGTGGGAGTGGCATGTCGGTATTCGCTGTGACAACGTGTTGTCAAGGCTACGCATAACTTGCTTCAATGTTTTCGTGGGGTCATGTGCAAGCATCCGTACTGTCGAGTCAATTGCACACTTATCTGCAGTGTTCGACGCCAATTTTTCTGAGCATGACAGCTCGTGTTTGCACAGTGATTTGAAATGCCAACACGAGGCTTGTATCTCGTAGCTGACGTTGACAGCAATAATATGGAAGACGTCGGTGATGATCGATGTCGTGGTGAGGTCCGTATGTGCTGGACATTGTCGAAGATAACACCATTACTTTTCGCAGTTTTTTGAAGTTGCGAAGCACGAGCTAGACGGGATACTGTTCCCGAGTACGTTGATATACGATTCGGTCCGTGGACACCAAAAGCGTTACCTTTGACACAAAGAGCAGTTATTTTGCCTAAAAACTGCTGTTCAAGAACGACAGCCGAGCAGGACGAGCAGTGCAGTTTGGTTGTGCTTGCTTTTGCTCGTTCTAGATCAGTTAAGTGATCGTACTAACGCTTGTCTTGTGATGGTGGTACGAAGGAGTCGGTATTCACCTCTAGCGAAACTGAGTTTCTTGGTACTCGGACTGAGAAAAACTGCCATTTACAAATCGCTGTCGTGCACTCAGTGTTTCTCGTAAATAGCTAGCGCGTACAGCATAAACATGAGCTCAATCGAAAGGGGTTATGAAATGGCAAATGCAGACGAAGAACTGCAGCTAGAAACGATTCAAATCAAGCAATCAAAGCCACCTCGCAAGCGCATGAAACTTCACATCACGCCCTGCACGGCCGATTTTTATGTTAATCTTGGCTCGAATAATATCAGCTTCAGGAACTTGTAGTTTGTTGCTGCAAAAACAACATTTGCTGGTTTGTCTGCCATGCACACGTCGTCTCTAGTAGTGCGAGCGCGATTGTATTACTACGTGAACGCAGTATCATCTACCGGGGCCGCATCGTCTTGACCACGAATAGTATTCGGACCGTCCATTCCAGTAGTGACCGTCAATTCATCTGTACTCTCTACTTCTTCAATCTCATGCGAAGTAGGCACTCTTCGGCAAAAGGTATTGTAGCAGCTTCCTCATTACTATCGCTCAGCTCTTCAGTCGTCCGTGTATCGACGGGCTATCACATTCGATCGTTAAGGCGAGATAGTATGCTATCCGCTAATTTTCGGGCGCCCAATGTAGGAGTGATCTCATCTGACGTCCCGCACGTGCAAACTCGTGCCGGTCATCTTCCTATCGATAAATGCATCTCCCTACATTCTCTAATAGAAATGCAGTAATGCCGGCGAGTGACACATCGAATGTTAGGCTCAACTGATTATGTTTCGATCGATAGGGGTGCGAACACGAGCAGGATCATGGTCACTCTCGAATATTTACTGCGTACTTGGAGCTTCACCTGATCACGACACGGGGTCGTGCACCGCTGTCAATTGCCATATGTCAAGGCAACCGCAAATGACGACCAAAACTGACTGAATGTATGCCTTCTGTACTCGGAGCTACCTCTAGACAGAGGTAGTCTTTTAGTTGCCGGTTGTTGAGCAGTCTCGTAGCGGTGGTACTAGTACACAACATTACTTGTCAATCAGCAATCGCCGATTTACTTTGTGGGCACTGGTGTGAAAGGTGAGGGTGTGGGGGTAACCATTCCCATATTAAAGTACCTGTTCACTTACACTCAATCCTTTGCTTGTGATGCAATTCATTTTTACTTTATCAGCGTGCTGATGGTTCTTTATTAAAGAGTTCAATTGATAGCTCTGTATGGTAGATCAACTCTGCAACAAAGCACCGGGGGCTTGTACTGACACAGAACAGGCTACTTCGCCAAGTACAGCGCAGGTCGATCCCTCAGTACCTCACGCACACGTACGCGTAGAGGAAGCTCTCGATACTAAGAGTACTCAGTTAAGGTAAGAAGTAAAATTGTGTTTATAATAGTTAATCATGTCTGACAATTTCTTAGGGGAGCCGCTAATGAGCCTTCACTTTTGCTGATCACTTCTCGCTGACGAGCCTTCACCCCATAGTAAAATTAAGTAGCTAAATTTGAAACCCCCTAGATTATCATCTTGCTTTTTGAGCAGTTATGCTTCTAATTTCTAAAATTTACAGTCGAGACTGAACCAGTCACATCCGCAGCTCCACATAGAGCAGCCCCTCCGGCGGGTGAGAGCACTTGAAACATAGGATTGTACCGGCTTGGTCACAATGTATATTATCCACCCTACACAGCGTCTCCGTCACTTCCAAGAGGACCACCCCGAAAAGCTCAAACGACGGCACTTCGTTTATAATACTAATGTATTCAGACCATCTTTCGTATTAAAGTGTAAAAAAAAGACGGTCGTAAGAACACATTACACACGTTTTATGCTGCTCACCCTCGAGTTATGCTTAAGTGCTGTACTAGATCTTCTTTACGAATCGCATGTTGTGGACAGCGTTGTATGGGCATTGCAGATTCACTGCTTTGACCTCACTGCCCTTGCTATTGTCCACCCTGTTTTTGTCGCATATCGTGGTATGATATCCTTCCAGCAGTTCCAGATCGTCAAGCGCGTGACAAGCCTCGTCAGCAGAAAAAGTAGCTCAATGTGATCCAGTCAATGCCTTCCACGTTCCTCTTTAAGAAAGGAGGTTGGAAGCTCGACAGAGTAGGTCATATGATGTGGAATTGGCATTATTGTTAAAAACGTGCAGTAAACAATATAATAATTTGAGCAGTTTCAAATCTAACATTTGTTTAATGTACAGGGTGAAGACTTATCAGCAAAAAGTAAAGGCTCAGTAGCGGCTCCGTTTCTTAGTCAATGGTCTGTTTTCTATGTCTAAATACAAATTTGTGTTGTAACGAACACCTCACCGCTCATTACACCGTTTGTCGTGGCTCGGCATTACTGATTGATTGCATGACGTATATCAACCGATGGGCAGAGCACAAATACTGCGGCACAATACCATCAGCTTAGAAAATAATCTAACACATGATGCTTGCTAGCATAATATTCATGCTTAATATTTGCTCAATGTTAATATTATGCAACGGATACACATTGCTACAAACACTGTATACTCTTCATTAAAAATTTCGTGGGAGAGATTGCTGAGCTTCTAATCCCCGTCAATGCAATTTTGCAGATCAGTCCTCGAGGCTATGCCTTAATTAGTATCCACACGTTCATCCCGATTTCCTCAACAAGGTGAGGTTCTCTTGAGCGACAGAATGGCTTTAATTGATAGTTGAACCGACACAATGATGAATGAATCTTACTATCGATTTGATATCAGCTATGTTCTATCATTGCTTCGATGGCTACAGCACAAATTGCGAAGCTGGAATGGCTGGATCAATTGTCTATGGCCGTGTTTAACTCGTCAATGGCCGTCATACAAAACGAACGCAACGTGTACAATGAATACATCGAGTCAAAATGGTTTTCATAAAAGGACCACAACACTTAGTTGTTTGTTTTCATTTTTAATATTTGTCTGTTGCCGGTCATCACCCATACAGGACGGCTGAACACATCCATATTTTGTTACGATATCACTAATCGTAGTCTATCCCTTTGTTATTCAGGTGATTCACAAGTTAAGTTACTCTTCGATGGAAAAGGTAAATCTTTAGGAACGAGTTTCTTCGACAATCTTTGCGTGGCCTCAAAAGCAGAATACATTGTTCAGGCAATGCTGTTCCCTTACTGGAAGGCGGCTGTATTAATGTAGCCTTCTGTGTTCCTGAATATAGGCTAACTAGAGCACAAGGGTGATCTGTCACGGTGGTGTGGAGGAGAAGCAAAATACTAAAAGCGGGTAGGGACTATCATAGTGCGACCGGAAAGCTTGATGTGAGCACCTAGAATGACCGTGATGAAAAAATCTTGTTAACATCGCGTGTATAGCAACACGCGGGGGTGGCTTACATGGTATTGTCAATAAATGGAGTTAGGTATAGATTTCTAGCGGAAGGATAACTAGAGATGCGCAGCGAATAGGGCATAAAGCATAAATACATGCTGATTCAGCGTATTGACACAACCGTTGCAGAAACGGTGGCATGTGCCGAGACTAAGGTTGGTCGAGGAAGATGGCTCGGTTCGCATAAAAGTGTGTCATTCCATGTAGCCTGTCCACAGCGTTAGAAGACGATATCCGACATTATCGGTCCCGCTTCTCTGCGCAAGTTTACTTCAGTAGAGGAGTTTTTGTGATGGGCATCAGCGAAGCGTCTGCACTCTGGGTGTGCACGCGCAATGTTGATCTCTTTTTTGTGACTGAGAACAGAATTCGAGGTATACCCCTAAAAGTTATAACTCAATACATTGCTGCAAGCTTTGCCGAGATACGTGCCTTGACGCTGTTGCGGTACGATGACATTACAGTCAGCGCGAAAGAGGTCTATGCGACAGATCAGGATCCCCCCACTTTCCAAAGCGACAAATATGACGAACATGCAATAACGTCACTCTACTTGTTTGGTATTTAAAACAAAAAGATATACAATCTACAATCAATGGCTGTATCGCTTTGACGGCCTCGAGCTTCCACACAGACCTTTCGGTGTGCGTTAACACATCGGCACAATCACTGGGCCTAAGACATTATCTGCAGCTAATATTATTTGTACACTGCCACCAGCACCGAGCGTCATGTCTAATCAACAAGAGATGTTATTCGGATATGCATTTAGCGGTGCCCCGTCACCCCTGACGAACCGTGTAGCATCCGCATCCAGTCGACCAGATAACCATTCATTCGTCTTAAAGATAGTGCTATCTTCAACCTGTAACCCGTTTCCATTACAGTAATACACTCTTCCACGACCGTCATGTCATCTTGCGTGTGCCATTGGAGTCATTCAACAAACTCCACCGGGCTGTTCGGCCAATACGGTTCGCCCGGTATAATCAAGGACGCATTCTTCATGATTGTGTGAGCTTCATTGAAGTACTTGACGGATCTCTAACCGCTGGAATAAGTGCTTGCTTACACCGCCAAATGAAGGACAAATTCTGGAGCACTGCTCAAGCCGTGGCTGTCGGGACGATGTTCGCGACACTAGAAGAAAAGTTGATGTGACCGCTGAGCTTCAAACCAGGAGAATCTGAGCACGATAAGCGTTCGCAACTTTACTTCGTCCAGATGGTTGGGAACTGGACTACTACCAATGACCACTACTGAGTAGCACGTCGATGGCACTGACCGCGAGTCCGAAACCATATTGTTTCCTGCCTCATCATTTGCCATACAAGTGTGACAAATCCCGGTTGTTCTTTAATCACTTTCACGCGGGACATAGATGACAACAAGGTCTAGCCACCCGTGTTTGCTTCATTCATTTTTTATTCAAGGTTACACGTCTGCTTATGCGACACCCGGCCCCAACTTACGAATCTTTCCTAAGTTTACCAATAGGACATTCCGGACGTCTTGTACACCTTGAAAATGTTAAATAGACTGTCGGATTCTCTCTAATTTTGTAAGATGTGCAAGCGACGTATCATTTTGTGACCCGCATCAACGCCAGTGGCAAATGACTTGATCCGCCTGTTCCGATTGATCAATACGACGTAAATGAGAGCATCACGACATTAGTGAGAGCAATGAACTCCTGCGTCCATCTCGCAATCAGGCCATTTTTTTTTCATGACGCAAAAAGTATCTCCACGTTAATGTCCACAGATCCGCCTTGTAATTTACATTCCCCCGTAGCTTTAGCGTTGAAATGCTGACATCGACAGCATTCTACCTACGTGATCGTTTTCCCTGATTGCGCAGAAAGCAGGCAAAGTAAACGGCCTCCCCATTGTGAACATCCGCTAACATCGATAGATTACAAAGCGGCGAGTTTGCGACACTGGAAAGATTGCACAGGCAGTTTGCACGTCATCGCCTATTCTCGTCTTGTTCCGATAAAACCCGAATAGTCTGCCATTTTTGGGGACGATATTCGGGTTAAACAGCACAAATGAAATCAGTGCTGATGGTGAAGTGACTTTAATACACACTATAATTTTGCCTGAATGCAATAACAGAGTGTTTCTTTTTGCTCAGCACATCCTACACAGTGCCGGCTATCCATTGTTCCAAGTTCTTGTATGGCCAATACTGGTTAGGCGAACGACCGCTTTGTCGAGTTAGAGTGCTAGTTGCAGTGATCGATATCGAAATCAACACGTTCACCCACCGTCTTCCATTTGTCTGTCAACAGTGTAGCGCACTAGGTCGACTGCGTTCACGCAGCATGGGTATGGGTACTCAATCATTGCTTGGTCAGCACCGAGGGATAATCTACTGGGTAAAAGTACAACTTACAGCAAATGGAGAGAAGCATAAGCTCTAAAGGATGATAGACGGCATTGTCATATCGTTTATAGATCAATACACCCTTTGCCTAGCCTCGCTCTTGGCAAGAATTCATGATAACAAGAAAGTAAACTTGATTGCTCATATGCATCTTCGAAGAATCAAGCTTGCACAATCGTACGTTTTCGTAATGAAGCTTCAGCTAAATGGACCTGGAGGACCTTGGCATCAATATCGCTCTCTTCTCGCGTTTTGCACTGTGCCGCCGGTAGCGTGGTCTTGTTGATGCAATATGGCGATGACCAGTACGACCCTCGTTCAATGTTAGCGTCGAAGTGTGTGCTTGTCGAGCCCCATCACGGGCTCGAACGAACAGCTGCCCTTGAAGTTCTACGGTCTTCCAAGGCCATGGACTGGTCGAGAGCGTGCCTGTATCACGAAGCCCCATATTTTCGCTCGATGCAGCTGAGAGGAAGGTGCTTAGTCCCACGCAAATTGCTGCAGGGGATGCTGACGTCGAACTCCCATCTATTGTCGTACTACTGACGTTATTACGGACCTTTGTTATTTATTGAACAACCCGGCCATTTGTAGGTCCGAGTACCTCCTTGACGGATGTAAACGTGGACGGAACAGAGGCCTGGCCGTTGCTGAACTACGACTGACCACTCAAGCATTAGGACTAATGGATAACCGGTCATGCTGAGGATTTATCACACAGAAAAAGCTGAAAGTCCTGGTGTATTCTGGCTTCAATGTTAGTAAAACTAAAGTCACCTAAATGGTGGTCCAAAATTTTCTCAGAGCCAGCTTCGCAAACGTTGATTCGTTTCTGTGCTTCCCTGCACCTTCCAAGCCGTCAATTTGACAATACCCACCCAGCACACTCTGTTGATTGGAATACGCCCACTTTGAAGCGCATCATCTCCAGATACTTACCCAGCTTGTAGGCTGATAGGAGTAACCTGCAATGTCTACGTCTCTAAGAAATGGATGTCGATCGTAATTTATTGTCTACGTCTTCAAAAAAATAGATGCCATCCGAATAACATGTAGCGTACAATCTTCGCTAGAATTGCATTCAATGTATCGGCGCTTCTGACAGTCGTGGCAATAACATACGCACTCATTCTCGCTCATAGAGCGCCCATGTCTACTTGCACTGAGGCCGGACAAAGCATGCACTAACTTAGGCAAGTTTCACTACGTTAAAAGGCAACCGCCCTCACAAAACCACAAGACGCGTCCACAATTGAGTTCCGACCCGCTCACGTTTCCAGTCAACTTGGGTATCGCTACACATTCAAACCCTAAGTAGGGCTTGAGTCAAATTCAGCTGTCTACGTCCAAGTGGGTTGCTGTTTGGAGTGCGGACATGTATGTTGTACCCAAAGAGACGCCATGTGTATCATCAGCCATCACACGTTGGTTTTGATGCCGAAGCCGTGTCCACGCACGATAAGCTGTCCGGAACATGCTTGCTTTGGACCTTGCGGGGATCCGTCTATTCCGTGCGAAATCGCGTCGGGTTGAGTATTCGTGGTCGAACATGCGCGAACACACGGTGGTCGGAGGCCGTGATCTTGACATGGCTAAGGATTGACAAATTGTTGACGAATTGGAAACTGATCGTGCACACTTTCAGCGTGTCACTAGCACGACAATGAACATCAAGTGTTTACATTTTTGTGGGACTGAGCTCTCTCGTGGTCACGCTTGCTTTTGCTAGTGTAGTGAACATTGAACGGAATTATTTGCGAGGAACACAGAGCCCGAGTCTTCGAACGCTATTTTGTAATGCTCGATGCAGCCAAAGTGTCCGAGTGTATCGAGTATACGATAAATTTATAGCCTTAAGAGAGCCGTGGCGTTTCGAGCACATCGCATTGTTTTATTTAGAGTTTCGCAAGTTTAATCGCGTCAAAACCAGGCGCGGAGAGTTGTCTCTTTGAGACAAGTAAAGTGAACAGAACGTGCCGTCGTCTATCCAGCCAGTGTCCAGTCGTACCCCAGCGGTAGATAGCACAATGTTGAAGTGCAAAGTCCTGACATGATGTACGATTGCTACCACAGCGGATGACACTATTCTATCATCGCGCAGCTCCTTGTCGTTAGCCTTTTTTTAGTGCGTCGGCACCTAGAATCAAAGCGTATGGTACTAAGCCATACAAGCCGCTAATTGTGCGTGGACTTTGCACAAGAAATTGCATTGCAAAACCGTGTGCTACAATTCCATCGACCTTTCTTCTTCCGTAAAGGACGTCCATTGTCTTGCCAAGCTTGTACATTCGATAATATGGGCTTTAGTCTCGATTCGGGCAAGGATAGAGACATGCACAGCCCCGGCTATTCTTTCGTGCCTTCGCGATGCCCAGTTACGATGACCCTACTATGCTCGTGGTGCTTTTCTATGAAGCTACAAAGTTGTGCAGTTGAATTGGTGAATGACGTGGCGTCCTCAGCAAGAAGCAAAGCATTGCTGTCGGTGAAGCGTTGGCTTTCACATTTGAGTTTTAGGAGCACTTCCTAATTTGCTCGTTGCCACGTTCACAGCTCCAAAAAACACGACCTGCAGTTAAGCGCCAGCGATGCGTCTCCATACAATTGAGCTCTGGGCTGCACTCACTCTGGTATCCGTCGAGGGTGACCCAGCAGCTGCCACGTCGGAGCTACCAACACCTAGCTCTGGACCTCCACCCCCTTCGTCAGCAAATAACGCGATCGGCTTCCAATCCGAAATAACATCGAGAAGAGCAGAAAGCCCTGCTGCGGTCAGCGAAGAGAGGGGAATCGAAGAAATATCTCTTGCTGCATCTCGGATAAGGCAAATCGCTGATATGGAAGGTGGAGCAAGGACGACAAGAGCAGTGGACAAGGTGCGACTCGAAGACAATGTCTCGGCTGCCGTGCTAAAGCAAGAGAGCCTCGCACCGCAGAAAAAAGTGCTCCTGACTGGGAACGCAAAGAAGCCAGGCGTGCCGTTGAGTGAAGATTTGATGGGAGTTTATCTCCTTCAGAACGTGGTTGATGATCTCGTGCACGCGAGACAGTCTGCCTCAGAGAGGGAGAAGGAGCTTGCCGACAAGTGGTGGAAAGAATTGTGCAAGTTGTTCGTGAGGAATGACAAACCTATTGCCGACGTTGCTGAACTGCTCAAGGTTGACGAACTCAAAGGTCTTACTAATAAGCTAGAGATGCTGAAAGATTACATCAGGATCAGCACGACGGGCGGCCCTGACCCTTTTCTTGAAACCATGAAGGCAAGCTTGGGCAACGAGGAGAATTTGGTGTCGTTTATAGGGCGGGCTCAGTTGAACGACGACGCAGAGCGTGGGGCAACAGAACTGGAGGGACTGCAACTTGCAAAATGGCAAGCCGAAAACAAGGATCCCGTAAAGTTGCTGGAATCCATGGAAATGGACAAAAGCATGGATGCTCTGACTAGCCCAGGGCTGTACACGGTAATGAAGTACATCGATGCGCATAACGTGAAGCATCCCGATCGGAAATTTTCAGTGCTCACGCCGGTCAGAGGGCGTTTAGGAGACGTAAATGTACTGAAGGACCTTGTCGCTGCAAAGTTGAATGGGCAAAGCAAAGTGACAGAAGGATTTGCCAACAAGCTTCTATTAGAGATGAAGGAGCTCTACAAGGGCGAAGGCAAGTCGGAAAGTGATATTAGAGCGGCTTCGGGGATCGTCAGCGTCAAAAGCGTACACAATTGGGTCAAACACAAATTGAAGAGGAACTAAGAGTCCAAGACGTCCTCAGTTTCGCTTATGGCTTCACTAGTGATTCTTTGGGCCGACACATACGTTTACGCTTGGCACAGCCTTCCGTACACTCTAGCTCGCCATCGTGCGTGCCGCTGAATGTAATACAATGGGATTTTCTTTCTTTGAGCTGCCCGATCACTTCCCGGTGACATATTCGTTTTGCGCAACATCACAACATACGTACGTATTTGTGCGCACGACAGTTTGGTCAGATCATTGCACCACATTGATTGTATTTGGCAGCTTTTACTTTCAATTGCATCGCTAGTGAATCGAATGCAAGCTGACGAAGTGTTTGGATGTGTTGAAAGTTTTATGTCGAGCTGATTGTACCGTAGCACCTCACAGCCACGTTCGTGCATTGTAAAAGGTCGTGCGAAAATTAGGCAGTCGGTCCTCATCGCCAGCTCTTCAGCTTCTACGGCCAGGTCGTAATGTCTTTTCAACATGTTGAACTCGATTAAAAATTCGAGGACAATTTAAGACGCAACTCGATACAAAACGTATTCGCACAGCAAATCTTGAATAATTGTGATCCCGAAGGGTGAAGTTATGAGTGACTGTGCGCGAGATGAATGCCGACCTGTTCAAAAGAAGAGCAAGCTCTGGAGCTTGCCCTACAATATAAGTAATCCAGTTCTCCGAATGCAAAACACTATACGACAGCAGTGACAGAAGAAAGAGTATCCTGCTGTTAATGTACGTATAAAATAGTACATTATACTTGGGCAACGCGATCAGCCTTTTCTTATGAGCGTCTAGCATTTGCTTTTGTGATCATACTCTTCTTTGATTTAGGGTCAATCACGTGCGTTCATCACAATAGTGACCTTGCAAAGCGTGACTTCGGATGTGCCTGTATACCTTCGAAAGGAGGCAGGGCTAGATCGTACTTAGTTGCGAGCCCGAAGGGTGAAGGCATCATCAGTAACGGTGCGCAATGTAAATAGCGAGCATTTTAATCGTACTTATCTGCGTGTGTTTGTAGGTCACGCTTAGAAAACCATATACGTTGTACTAAGTGCGATTTAGTCCATCACGTCCTGTGTACGTGAATGACGCCAGGTGTACCTTAGACGTATGTAGCCTGTCGCCTCCTTTGCATGTGTCTGCAAATTCGATACTAAGTTTGATGTTGGCATTTTTACTCCTTCATTCATTATACGTATTATTGCAAGCCCAAAAGGTGCAAGCTATTAGTGACTGAGCGCAAGGTACGTGAATATTCAGACCTTTATTCAGTTCTATGGATTGAAGTACTTATATGAAAGAGTAAGCTCCAGAGCTTGCTCCTCTACCTTACACAAATTCAGATGCATAAATGTAACAAGCCTACTCGTACAAAATTGTTTTTACCGACACCTCTTGATATCTTGATCTACGTCCATTTTGTTGTGGGGAAATTATTACTGAGATCTCCAATGCACGCCTTCGTAGTTTTTCTTACCGCAGCATTCCACGATTTACATCGTTTTGAATCTTGTTCCAACGAAGTCTTATGACAGCAAATTTAAACTCTCTGCAGGGATAAGATGTAGTAGATAATCATTGGACCGTTAGTGCGGCGTTGCAGTGTTTAGTTCAGTACCCATAATGCATACAGCAATGCGGCAAAACATTCCAAGCCTTATGGACGACCGGTCGTTCAATTTAAATGCATTGCATTCGGTGAAAATCTTGATTTGTTATGTCATTACTTAGTCGAATCCACAACTTACGAGTGCATTTGTCATTTTGTACCCGCCGACGGTCTTTTTATCGGTATAAGTGCGGTAAAGAGCTGCTTACGTCTGTACTTGGTTTCAATCACAAGAATTTTTACAGCCCTCTGTAGCGATCACGAGCTCTGGTACACATTATCTGTATCCCTCTTACCAAAAGCAACTAACTAGGTATTGTATTAATTGCAAACGAGAAGCATGGACTCGACATTTTTACAATTCAGTGCGGAGCCGCGCCCGATTCACTAGGTCTCCTGGACAGCAGTGTGCATACAAAAACGAACATTTATCCATGTGTACCCTGCGTTAAAGTAGCCCAGATCTACTTGACTTCTTCGTCAGCGTACTGTACATTTCAAACGGTTTCGAATCAATCTGTAGAAAACTAGTAGTGTTCTGTCTCACTAGCAAATGCAGTCAGGAAAGACGCCCTGCAGCGATTCAATGATGGTACAAGTAAAACGATAAGTTCGTTGATTGTTGATTGTTAATGATTGCCAGTTAAAAATAGGACACAACTTTTAGTGGAAGTGTATGATTTTTTTATGCCAAACTAATGCGGACCTGCGATAGCGCATATGTCAGGGAAAGACTTTACTTTACAAGCCTTTGTTTATTCATAGATTACGACTCAGCAGGTCACCAATCCTAATACACTAGAAGAGTTGCAGACTCAAAGAGTGAAGTGGCTTACTGAATGAAAAATGGTTGAAGCAATTACAGCAAAGTGATTGAGAGTTACTTCTGTGTTCGTCTCCCCTCTCGAAATAAACGTACCATGTTCCCTACTGATATAAACCAACGAGTACATAATGTCGAGATTTCCAAACAAAATGCCAGCTGACAAGTCAATACTGAGAGATGTATGTATTTGATAAAATACTTTACGATACGATGCAGGAGTTTTTCATTCCTTTGCCGCTTTAAAAGGATATGGAGCTGTCACGAAGAGTTTGTGCAAACAGCTGATGGGTGTAAAGCAATATGTGACTTATTTTGTGCGATCGCGGAGAATTTTACCGGAATTTCTAAATTTGGGGGAAGGAAATCATCAAGGAAATTAAAATTCCGCATTAACTACGGGTTCAAATCGTCACCATGTCAAGATAACATTTTACTTTTCTGACAAATTGATGTGCAACTATTTCCTCACACGTTGCTCCTATTTCATTCGGAGATAGTCAATGGAGTTTTATGGTCGTGCTAGCGAAACACAACAACGAGACTTCCTGCATCTCTGAGAATCAATAGTCAATACCGAAATGTTTACATAAATCTGGAGTGAACGTCGGTGAAATACCGACTAACCTACGGCCATTAAACGAATACTGAAGTGAAAAACGAAAACTGTGCAGCTTTGGACACCATTTGCATTATGACAAGTTTGATGGGCTTAAACCGTTAGATGCGATCTTGGAGACTAAAGACGGGAAAACAAGAAACCGACGTACCCCTTTTATGATATCAGGAATGTAACTCATTCTTTTCAGCTCTTCCATATTCTACCAAGCTGTTGCGCACATATCACCATGATTTTTTTTATCAACTGTGACCTACAGGACCGACATTGTGATTTTATCTGATTTGCTTGTTCGGATTTTTTTATCTAATGCGTACACGTCATTCTCCGCAGGCTTAGTATTTATGCATACGGAACATGAGCCGTCGTACAAAAATTGCAATCAATTTTTATGTTCCTCTTTTACGGGGGCTCATTTTTGTAAATTTTTGTATTTGATCGTGAGCTTGCTCTAATCAACGCATTTTTGAATAGATCTCCCATGGCTGCTGTAGCACTTTTTTCGTGGCACATTGTGATAAAGATCATGAAAAAAACTCACCTCTAGTTGGATTATGAGTGGGCTTAAGAAAGTTTAAAACGAAGTTAGTGATGTAAAGGTGAGTTTAGGAAATCGGAGAGGAGAACAGAAGTGTAGGAAACGAGGTTGCTTATTGTAGTAAGAGGCAAAGTGAGAATGAATGAATGTTGGGACTCATAAATCAAGGCATCGTGCGTATGAATGCTTGCTCTACTCCAGCTTCTTCTGTGTCAGTTGTAAGTTCAAGTGAAACAACCAGCTATGCCTACCCTCCATATCTCTACACCTCCCTCGTTCGTATTGTGATCATCTGTGAGATGCACCAGGATTCGTTACGAGCAAAGATGTAACTTCTGGTTCCATATAACGGAACAATGAAGACGGAAATCAATACTCCGACACTTCCCCTCGAGCAAAGCTCGTAAGGCGGGGTATAGAGAAGAGTCGATCAAAAATGACTTTGTCCGTAGCTTTCGTAAAACTATCGGTGTCTTGTTTTAAGTTGGGCAATACTTGTTGACTTGTTTTCTGGTGATCGTGTCGCGTACAAAATGGTGTTTTGATGTCTGTTCCGTTGAGTTGTAACTGTGACTTGCATATCTTTGATCGCAGATCGTTTAGTAAGCCGAAGCAAGATTGTGCCATCCTTCGCCATGATTCCAAGCTCTTGAAGGAGTTGACAAACTGCATTACAGACTTATACATCCATTGCAGCAGCAATATATTCGGTCTCCGTTGTCGAAAGAGCCACGCTAGTTTTTTGTTAGAGAACCACAGCATTGATATTTCATTGATTTGAAGAACAGCCCCGCTTGTCGATTTTGCACTTATAGAGTGACGGCCCAGTTTGCATCAGAGTAGATGAAACGTAGTATATGTAAGGCGCTGATGCCGCCAAAAATGTAAATTAGCCCCGAGCTTGTAGTCCCTTTAGCTAGCGCAAATGCACCTTATACATTTTAATTGAGTCCAAGTCGGGATCGATACAAAGCGTGAAAGACACTTATTTGCGTGACGATATTGGGGCGGGTGCAATTTGAGATTTAGAGTAAGCTGCCGATTGCCTCTTGGTAGTAGTCGGTGTCCTTTAAGGGTCGACCTTGTAGCTAAAAAACCACGGTTGACATCCATAGAAGTCGATGAAGGTTTGCACCGGTCCACTTCGAATTTTGCGAGCAGGTCCACGGTGGTCTGCTGGTGGTGAATGATTTATACCACTGTTGACATAAACGATCTATATACCTAGACACTTTCGACCACCACCGATATCCTTGATATTAAAGAGATCTTGTAGCTGGCGCATTATCTTGTCAGCTAGATTTGTGTGTTTCTTGGCTTACCAGTAGAACGCCATCGACGTATGGTATAACATAGTTTGCTGTGATGCCGCCGAAAACATACGAGCAAGTATCCATTAGACAACCTGAAAGTCTTGAACCATCAGAAACGAGTCGATGAGGTCGTTCCTAAACTTGCCGATCTGTTTCGATCCATAAATATCCTTGTGCAGCAAACAAACTCGAACATCGCTGTCGTCGCTCCTGAAGGGGTTTTCAGATAAGTTGGCTTGTCCAGTGTGGATTTAAGGCAGGCGTTCAGAGTATCACCTTGTCGAACCTTCGCTTTCCAGAATGCTTCTAGCTTCACGATGAATCTTAAGCTCGATATTCTCAACACCGGAAAAAAGGTGCTCTCAAAGTCCACATCAGATCTCTGTTTGGTCTCTGAGCGACAAAGGGAGATTTTAAGTATTCGAGCTCTCCTTTGTTGCCAAAATCAAATTTGAATACTCGTTACAAGGTGACAGTGTTTGCACCTTCTGGTGGATCCACAAGCTCCCAAATAAATTCACAGTAAAATTAACAAGCTTCTTATCGATCGCAGATTTCCATTAATTCCAATGTGCAATGCGTTTTGCTTCTGCGATTGACCTCGATTCTTGAGTGTTATTCGATGCTGTCATAGTGGCGAGTAGACAGGTTCCACGAACGCATCGACGTATGACTTTAGGAGTTCAAAATCGAGTTCTTTCTCAGAATGTCTTCTTCCAACGACACGTTGAAGACTGCCAGCAGGTATCGCGATTGCAACTTCCTCCGAGACACCACAGTCATCATCAGTTCAGATGTCATTTTGATTTTTGCTGCTCTGGAACAAATTGTATTCCATCTGCTGGAGCATCGTCTCGGTTTCCGGCCGTTGAACACCCAGTTTGGCAACGTTTTAGATTGCAGGACTTGAAACAAAACAAAAATTTCAAGGAGCCATGAATCGAATGCCTTTTTGGTCGATCGATTTTGCGATGTCAATTGCCTATTCAGCTCGTTTGCAAAGGCTGCTCCCGAGCTTGCGAGGTAAAAACACTGCACGTTGATCCGAACTTGACAATGTGCAAGACACGAGGTCGCTTACCGGTCAGAGTGTCAAGTGGTGATTGATGATTGGAATTGTTGCATGTTGGAACACAATTACGTATTTATGACGCATAAAGAACAGCTCCCCCCAGTGTCATTGAGGTAGGGAGAAAGGCCACAGCATAGCGCGGGCTGGAATAATTACCGTTCAGAAAAAATTTCACTATACCATTTAACGCTGATGGGTTGAAGTATGTTCGTTGTATTCGAATGCCATTGCGAGTTTCTTAATTGCTAAATTGCGATCTTGTAAATCTTCCTCCACCATCGGTGCGTAGGACCTTGATTTAAGGTATTATACCGCTGGAACTTATTTGCGAAGTGCAAAAATTTGTCGAATGCCTCATTCTTGGTACGTGAAAGGTATATTTGGCTGTAGTAGGAAGCGTGGTCCACAATCGTAAGCACGTTCGATGCCCATTGTGATCCGATCGAAGAAATGTCTTTAATTCCATGTATATCACCGCCCCCAATTTATCTACTAGAGCTGACTCCGAAGTGTCTTCTCTAGGTTATTGATTGCAAGATTGTATAACGTCAGCACAATCCATGCAGAATGTGACCTTGTTGCTGGCTAGTTCCAATCCTACCCCAAATTTTTGTTAGCCACTAGGAGTAATGCGTGGAAGTTGATATGGTCGAGACGATCGTGCCATTGCTGCAGTGAAGCTTTTGATGAGGTAACAAGCAAAACTTTTGGATCATAATTCGGAGCCCTGGCTGTGATCGCATTGATATCCAACGGTGGCCTCTTTTGACAAATTTACCTACCACAGTCCCGTCTTTGGCGTGTAATGTACATTTCCATCAAAGACAAAGTGAAGTCCTCGCGCTCGAAGCTAGGATAGGAATAGCAAATTTCTTCCAGGCTTGCACACTCGTAAACATTTGTAAGTAGATTTTAACGCTTGTACCATCAGCTAAATTCTCACGCAGACAATATTCTGTCAACTCAGATAAAATCGTATCCGAGTTAGTAACTCTAATTTTGAGGTGAGCGGGTTCCGCTCTTAAGGAACGTCTTGCCAGTACACAAATTGTGTGTCGCGCCTAGATCAAATACACATTCTGGATTTGAAGTGCACTGAGGTGACTTAAAGGCTGTTAGACGGAGCCTTTTCTCCTCGGTCAGTTTTTTAACGATTGGTTCTACTGTTGGGAGAAGTCTACATGTGTGAATGCATGATCGCAAGAGTCGCATTGAAGATGCGAAAGGTCAGTATCGGGTACACTGAGTTCCAGTATGCAGATAGAAAGAGAGAGGTAGACGAAGTACGGCAGCAGTCGCGACGGCATGATGCGGCGCAGTGAATAGTCACGATGGCGTGTGCGACGCTGTGAGAAGTCGCAACGAGTGGAAGGATTTTGTGCCTGTAGGATCGTATGGTGCGAGCGCAGTGAGAAAGTTGCATGAGCGGTAGTGAAGAGCTAGCGAGTAACAAAAACTGACAGATAGCGAGCGCGGAGAGCTGTATGACGAATTCCAGAATCCAATTTCCCTTCGGCAACGTTAGTTTATGAGCCCAATGCCTGGCGGTGAGACAACCGACACGCCAAGCACTGCAGCATAAATTGCTGACGGCGGTCGCGAAAGGACCACCGCAACGACATCTGCAGCTTCCGCTACACCAGCTGAGCCTGCGACTGCGATAGTTGTTGATTCCTCGGCTCACAAAAGGGGCGAGAAATCGGACATCAGCACACGGATTCTCACTGTTCTCGAGAACATGAGTCGCATGGACCGACTTGAGATTTGGCAGATGCACATCGAGGAGAATGAGCGCCTACGCGGCGCCGTCGACAATAGTCTGTTGGACTCCGCTTTCGGTAGAGAAAATAATGGAGGACCAATGAACTGCGAAGCACTCGGGTTCATGCCAACAAGACGATCTAATGAGCCACCAGCAGCTCTGCGGCTTCACCAGAGAGCTCTAGTTAGGGGAAATCGTTGCTCGAGCCGCTCGGTTTACGAGTACCGCCACCGCAGAAGCAGCAAGCCCCGGCAATGCAATAGGCCTGCGCACAGCAAGCGTATGCGTCCATGCAACAACAGGCGTTGGTAGAACCGGCTGCTGCCCCTGCGCCAGTTCTGCAAAGGTACCGGACGTCGGACGCGCATCAGTGCAAGCTCGCGATTCAAACGTTTGACAACTCTGAACTGTATCAAGGATCCGGCACCGGCTTTCAGGACTGGAAACGCTCGTTTATCCGTGCGGCGAGCTTATCACAGGCGGCATGCTACTTTCATGGGGCGGAAGGTTTCAAAGTTAATTTTTCTGGGGCATTATCTGGGCGGAACTGCCGAGTTATACTTCATTAAGCAAGTTGATATCTGGTGGGAGCAGCTCCCGACGCTCGACCACATCATGGATCGCATATAACAAGCTTTCCGGACGGACGATCACAGTACCGCAATCGATGAAGCTTTGCGCCGCCAAGACGAAAGACATGAGGTCGTGGCCTGAACACTTCCCTACATGGTCGCAGTGAGTGACGCTTGTGGAGGAGGCGCCGAGGCGCGGGTACCTGACATCATAGTGCACTATGCGCCGTAAGATCTTTCGACGGTGATCATGAAGAAGTTCGACGCAGGAAGCATCGACTACTTGTGCCAAGTGGAGGAGCTTGCGAATTTTTTTCAAGTAGTCGAGGTCGACAGTAGTGCCGGCAAGACACTGGGTCGCGAGGTCGTCGCAATTGCCAATTACTTTACACAGCGCAAGAAAACGCGCACATCCCCAAACTGCAAAAAGCAGGGGCATTTGAAGAAATCTGCCGCTCCAAGAGGAAGGAGAAGAAGAACAAAGACGAAAACGAAGAAGGGCTACTGCTGGCAGCGAACGAAAGCCGAGAAGATGCGAGCACCGACTGATTCCTTGACAGCGGCTCCAGCCGCCACATCATGAGCGACGATCGTTTACTCATCGACAGCAATCAGTACAACGACGAGATCTCTCTTACTGACAACAAAAAGCTCGTTATCACGAAGGTTTGATGAGTGCGCCTGTTTTTGACAGCGCGCGGCAAACAGCGTCAGATCTGGCTGTCGGACGTTTATAAGCGCCAAATATTGCGCGCAATTTCGTCAGCTACGGGAGCTCGAGCATCTTAGGTACGCACACACGTACACTGACGATGGGCGTGAAATCTTACGGCTATTGATTGGACACGTTGCTTTGACGTTACGGTGCACAATAGTGCTTCAATCGTCGAGACTTCCAGCACGATCAATCCATCAAGTGTGATATCTGCTGCTCTTGAGGAGAAGGCCATGGCAGATGTGTCGCCCGCAAGTGCAAGAAGCGACGCTCGGAAACTTTCATTAGAGGTTCGGGCATTTGTCGTATGGCACGATCAAGAATATTGCGAGGAACCCGGGCAGTGGATTTCGCATTGCGGACCACAGACGTTAGACGTTCATCAAGTGTGCTTAGAGCAAACAGACTAAGAAGAGCCAAAGCAAGCAGGACTCCGGCGCGTCCTATCCAACTGGTCGTGTCGGCGAATTGATATGCTGGAATCTCAAAGGGCCATTGACACCGGCTGATCGCTTGTGAATCGGTATCTTGTTTATTACGACGATCGTAAGAGTATCTACCACCACATTTCCCGTCCAAAACCCATGATGCAGCCGCAAAGAATTCATGGCAATTCCTCACTTTCTTTGAGCGAGATTTAATGCAAGGTCGCCGTGTGTTGAGCATAGACGGCGGAGGAGAGCACCAGAACATCGACTTATTTTGCAAGCAGACTGGTGTCGCTCGTCAAGTGAGCAAGGCGCGCAATCAGGCGTCAAGCGGCAAAGCTGAACGCATGCACCGGATGGTGTTGAACATGACGCGGACGATGATTTTTGCTTCGGGACTGTGTGGTAAAGCCGATCGAAATCGGGTTTAAAAGCCTAAGCGGTTCGGCTTAGTACGTGGTGGTATTGGCTGAATTGCTCGTGGGATGACAGCTACTCATTTGGATGTTACCGTTGAAGGGACCCAACGGGATTAACCCCATATAGTTAACACGGTCCCGGACTGTAGAAATATCAATGAACCGCAATCTAAGGACCGCGATCATGGGATCGCGATCGGAGAACCGCGATCAGGACCGCCATCGGAGGACCGCGATCAGAAGACCGCAATCGGATGACCGCGATCTGGCGTGGGTCACATGATATAGAAGGATTGCAAATCCATTCGGCATAGAGAAGACACGTGACGGTCAATCCTGACATACGGAATAGGCGTGGTTATAGTTTCGGGTTCTGGGTGGTTTACATTAAAGAGAGTTTAATTTGCTTTTAAACTCATACGTGCCGTTTTTCTTCCGGGTTGGATATTTTGGCCTCCCGACGTCAGAGAACTTCGACACCAAGGGCAGGAAGATCACTCCTGGAGCTATTTGGTCAGGAGTGCAAAGACTCCCAACACACATCAACTGCGATCGGACGCAGGCAACCTTACTGGTTGAAGTACAAGATCGTGAGACAGCTCAAGTGGTCAGAAGGCTCGCGACTCAAGTACCCCATTTTTGGCACAAGGCGATCAAGGCTGATCGCGGAGACTCTGGGAGAGCGCCAACCGAGAACACACGATCGGGTGAATAATTTTCACCCGATCAACACCAATCTCTAAAACGGTCGAGTTCAGCATCGATTCAAGTACACCTAGCCGACGGGTACACAAGGCGAGGAGTAAACAAGTACAAGCGTAATCGGAGTACCCCTCCGTTAGTCGGTTGCCTGGGCGCCAGTGGAAAGTCGAGATTGCCTCATAAAATAAGCGGACCTCACTCCACCACAACTGCCTTTGACGTTCCGGGGAGACGCTGCTGAGTATGCGACAAATATTCTCGACAGAAAACCGACAAGCATGAACACGGAGCGCTGTCCAATCAATTATCACATCTAGGCAATATTGTCGTCTTTGGTTCGAATGACACGGTGTACCGTGGCCTACGGAAGGACTCGTTTGTGCATCGAGCTCAACCCAGCACCATCGATGGCCGAAGTCACGAGGCAAAAGGGGTTGTGTTGACCTGCGCAAGGGTATCGTTTTTGTCGTCACAAAACATGTTAATAACATCGAGACACTGCCAACTGCGCCGAACTCACAACTGCCGCGCGATCTCGAGAGCGACGACCGTGCAGACGCGAACACCAGCAGCGACGCTCAAGATCCAGTGCGTGCGACGCAACACGAGCACAAGGAGTACGACAAGAAACCGGACCGTTAGCACGAGTGAAAGGAACAACCAATCGCCGCACGTGCAGAGTCGAAGCAGTCCGCGACTAGCCAGGACGAAGCCGCTCGTAACACCGACGTGGTGAGCCAATTGTTTGAACCCGATCCGAAGAACTACCGCAAAGCAGTCAAGGGCACACAATGTTTGAACTAGAGATGGCGATGAACGAGGAGATCGCAGCTGTCGAAGCTAACGATGTGTGGACATTTGTTTGTCGTTCAAAAAGCAGCAAACGTCATGCATTACAAGTGTGTTTTAAGACCAAAACAACCGCAAACGGTAAGCTTAGACATCGCAAAGACCACTTGATTCCATTGGACAATGAGGAAGTTGGGGGCGCTGATCACTTTTTCAACTTTGCTTTGGTCGTGGAAATGTCCACTGTGAAAGTAATCTTGGCACTTGCTACGACGTTAAGCGTCCGGATCAGCAAGATGACATACCGAACGCGTATGTCAAAGCGATAAAGAAACGCACCTGAACATCCCGAACGGCATGGACGTATCGGCGACGTGCATGCGTGAGCTCGGCGTCACGAGCACGAAGGACGTGGCTCCAGAACTACGCAAAAGTACCTATAGCCGTTAACAGGCCGTCCGACTCTGGAATCAGCTGTTGCATCAGAGAATCGTTGAAGGCGGGTACATGCGGTGTATCAGCGACAGCTGATTACACTCTGGGCGAGTGGACGCAGATCTCGTGTTTGCAGGCGTCAACGGCGACGATATACTCGTCATAGGAACGTCTACTGCAGTTGTCAAGCAGTTCTTCGACGTGATGCAGTGCCTCTCGATCAAAAACCTCGGTCCAGTTGAGAAATTCCTTGGAATTCGTGTGAACAAGACGGCAAGAGGGGATACGTTTTGGACCAAGAGGAGGCCATCGTCGAGTTGCTGCAGGAGCATGGACTGAGCAACATGAATACCACGCGTTCGCTGATTGGAGCAGACGTGTAAGATTTGCAAGATGGTGACAGCAATTTACTCGACTCCAACGAAGAGGCAAGCACGCGAAGATCCAGTCTTTCCAGTCTCTATTCAGCTCGCTACTTGAATCGCACGATGCACGCGAACGGACGTGTCGTTTGTAGTACGCAAAGCAACACTACAGACGCACCAATCGCGTGTGCACGACTGGAAACGCGCCAAAGGATTGCACAATGCTCGAAGAAGACAATCGAGATGAGGATAGAGATAGTGCCAATGCGCGAAGCGGGCGACGCACCGACGCTCGAGTCGTCCAGCAATGGAGACTTTGCAGCAGACACACATGATAGCAAGTCTATCACCGGCGACATTGTGCAAAAGCGGTATGGTTGTGAGCTAATGCGCGGAGAAGCAAGGTGGCATCACACCTAGCACCATGAAATTTAAATATGTGACTGCATCCGAAGTGGCACGAGAGCTGCTGGGATCTCGTGAAATGCTGCGTGAGATCGGTATCGAACCAGCACTACCAATGATGATGCGTATCGACAATCAGGCTGAAATTTGCTTGATCAACAGCGAAGCGAAATCAACTAAAGAAAACACATCGATTTCCGATAATATTTTCTCCGTGACTACACATGTAGCAGCGTGATCGAGGATTGGCACGTGCGCTCAGAACTCATTCCGGCAGACTAGTTCACCAATGTGGTCGATCTGTCCAAGATGGTGACGCAACAAAGGCTGCCACGTGTCGGCTATTATGCCAAGAGGTGAGAACGCAGATCCTGAGGAGGGGCATTTGGAAGAATTCTTTCTGTGTTAACGCATGATCGCAAGATTCGCATTGAAGATGCGAAAGGTCAGTATCGGGTACACTGAGTTCCAGTATAGAAAGAGAGAGGCAGACGAAGTACGGCAGCAGCCGCGACGGCATGATGCGGCGCAGTGAATAGTCACGATGGCGTGTGCGACGCTGTGAGAAGTCGCACCGAGTGGAAGGATTTTGTGCCTGTAGAATCGTACGGTGCAAGCGTAGTTAGAAGGTTGCATGAGTAGTAGTGAAGAGCTAGCTGGTGTAAGAAACCGACGGAAAGCAAGCGCAGAGATCTGTATGATGAATGCCAGAATCCAATTTGCCTTCTACAACTTACAATTCTATTCTCACTTATAGCGATGGCCCTAGCTGGTGAAGACCAAATTTCCAGTAAATAAGCACGTTTCAAGCTGTAGACTTGCTTTTTCGAAATGACCACATTTTGCTTGGCCCACAGATGCGCTTGACGCACGGAATTTTATACGCACCACGATTCTATTTACTTGTTTTTTGCAGCAATCGTACACCCTATGATCGGATTGTAATCACATGGGAGAAATAATGACACTTTGACGATTGGCGTACTAGCTACTCAGTGTCATCACAAGACCCTCAGCACCCTCGTCAGATCCTAGTGTCGTATTTTATGATACAGCGCGCTTTTGTATCTAAACAATCCCAGTGTGTGTGATGCATTGGCTACACTTGATACTCTGTTAAACTACTGGTGTGTTTCACCAGTAGTATAACAGAAGACTTTGGCACGGACGTTCATGTGCTGTTGCATATTTCCATTGATATGCCTTTAACTCCGCGTCAAAGTGGACAAGCCACAACTACAAAGATTGGCGTTGCCCTCTGACTTCAGCCCACTCTAACGAAAATGATGAAGCTCAGTGTGTGCAAGATAAGCCGAATCTTGTTG